CCCTTTATTTATTTATGTATTGTTTTAAGAAGGCTCCACGCCTGATGGGGGACTTGAACTCATGACCTTGAGATCCAGAGTCACATGCTCGGACTGAGCCAGCCAGGCGCCCTGTGGACCTTATTCCTTTAAACGCTACCTTCCATTACTGGGTCATCCTTTGTGTCATGGGCCCCACCACGCGTGCGCCTTAGACTGGCATATAGAGATTTGACTAGCACACGCCTCACTTCCTTTCTTTTTTTTCTTTTAAATGTTTTTACTTATTTTTGAGAGAGAGAGAGAGCGTGAGTAGGGGAGGGGCAGAGAGAGAGAGAGGGAGGGACAGAGGAAGCAGAGCAGGTTCTGTGCCGATAGCAGATGGGTTCTGTGCCGATGGGGCTCGAACTCACGAAGCACTAGATCATGACTTGAGCCAACCTCAGAACCTCAACCGACGGAGCCAGACAGGCGCCCCACGCCTCACTTGCCGTGCAGGGACCTGAGGCTCAGAGACGTCTGGTGAGGCCACAGTCCCCTTTGCCAGGAGGCACCGCTGCAGGGGGTGCCACCACCAGACACAATATTCGGTCTGAGGCCAGCCAGTCCGAGGTCTCTGCTCCACGTATGTTACCCGCCCGACAGTGCCATCCTGATCGCGGAACCCCCAACAAACAAGCGGGCTCGCGATCCTTCGCGGTAGGACTGTCGTGACTTTTGGGAGCACCCGCTTGGGAGGCCCCTCGGAGTGGCCAGCCGCTGGCTGGGGTGCAGTGTGACACTGTAGTTGGCAATCCCGAGCCGAGAGCCAAGCAAGGGGAACCTGGGTGCCAGCCGGAGGGGACAGCACGCACTCAGCCCTGAGCCATGGGGAGCGAGACCCGAATGCGGGGCGTGCACCTCGGGGTCTGCAGGTGGGCGAGCACAGGGCCACTGCGGAAGTCAGCAGCCTTCTGCGGGTCGAGCCAGGTGCCTCGGGTGTGGGGCTGTGTCCGCCTTCAGGAAGAGCTGCCTCTTCCTCATTTGCCCAAGGAGGCCTCCGGGGCCGACGGTAAACACTCACTGTCCTTGGGGAAGTGAGGGCTCCCCTCGCCTTGCCTCGGGCCCTGGTGCCCAATGACTGACCCCAAGGCACTGTGGGAAGTGTCTAAGAGCAAGACCTGTCTAGCTGGCCAGGCCTGGGGTGGGCTCGGCCTTTTATATGTTGAGCGTCCTGAGCCAGGCACTGACGCTGCTTGGAACTCGTTTCCCTGGGCACTAAAATGCCCATAAGGGGGTTCTTCATCCGGGTATCTTGAGGGTTAGACGGGGCACCGTGCCTGGTGTAGGCCAAGTGCTAAGTCTGGCCCCTTTCCGCACCAGGTGCCCTGGGGAGAGACATGGACGCACGCAGGTTTGCACGCCCCTCGCTGATGGGATGCAGTGTCCCCAGGGACATGCAGCAGGTGCTGTGCCTCTGACGTTGCATCTTTTCGCACGCACAAGGGCTCAGGGTGACCGATTCCCGGCGACGTCCTGGCGTAGCATCCAGGTCTCAGGCACCCCTTGAGAGCACCCCCCACCCTCCCTCTCTTCTGCCATCCATTTCTCCCCGCCTCCAACCCGTCATCCTTCTCTCTCCCTCCCTCCTCCTTCCCTCCCTCCCGCCCTCTTCGGCTCCCTACCCCTCAGGGGAAAGGGGGTGCGTACCTCGAAGGTCCCACTTAGAAGCAGCTGGATGAACGATGCTCGACTTTGAACAAGATGGAGACCGAGTCCTTTATACCCCAAGGGAAGACCCTTAGTCACGTGATCCCTCCTCCCCCCACTCCTCACGGGGAGAGGACAGCTTTTCGCGCAGGTTGGCAGGTGGGAGGCCTCTGAGGGGGAGGGGGACATCAGAACGCTATGCCTTGGAGCAGGTGAGGCGCCATATTAAGGGGCCCGTCTTGAGCCCCAGAGGAGAACCAGGCTGTAATCAGAGAACAATAGCTGCCCTGTTCCGCACCCCTACCTCACCTCCAAGGCCTGGGGGCCCAGGGATTGTGTCTCGGGGTCATCAGGGGGACTCTGGGGGATGAAAGGCTGATGAAAGTCACACGGGCTCTCCTGACAAAGAAGGGCTGGCTTTGTCTGGTCTAGTGAATTCCCCAGCAAGAGGATCTCTGGGGGATTCTTCTTATATGTTCCTGGCCTCAAGGCCCGGGAATTTGATGCCTCTTCCCTTAAGGGGTTTCCTGCCCCAGCTGTGGGGTGGGGTGAGATGGGGCTTGACAGTGAGACACGCTAGGATCGGGTACCAGCCCTGCCTCCTCCCTAGCAGCGGGACGGTGACCTGTCGCTGCTCGGCTGCGGCTCCCGCCTGCATTTCGTGGGGAGAACCCTGCCTTGGAAAACGAGCGCTCATCGAGCGCTGTTATGGGCCGTACGTGTTTTCATGGGATTTTTGCCCCTGCCGTTTTCACAACAGCACCACGGCAGCGGACCCCGGCGAATCCTACGCTCAGGATGGTCACGGCAGCAGGGACTCCACTTCCCAGACTGGACGGCCCATGTCGAGGCGGGGGCATCTATCTGAGCTCACGGTGATGGGATCATTCTGGGTGGGCAGGCTAGCCCGCTGAGAGCCCTCCGAGGTGTTCCCCTGACCCTCCCTGCTGGGCTCATCCGACGATTCGATCTGGGGTCGCTGAGCCTTGGTGGAACCCACCGGAGGGGGCTTCTGCAGATAATTAGTTGCTCGTGTACCTTAAAGATTTGTTTATAGATCATTAGTTATTGTTCAGTGTCTCACGAGCCCTGACGATGAACGGAGCTGCCCCAATCCTTTCCCACCAGCACAGAAGACGCCTCATCTCTAAACTCTTAAGTCAACAGGCAGCATGGCTCAGTGCCGAAATGTCTCCCTTCCCTCCCCCTCCTCCTCCCTTCCCCCTTCCCTGTCTTCTGCCTGTTTAGCTTGTATTCATGAATATGAGTTTAGCTTGGGCGTGAATGAGACAGACAGAAATGCACCTGTGCCTTTGCCCCTGGGAAGAATCCTGTTTAGTGATGTTATACGTGTAACGGATGTTACACCTGTAACTCCTTCATCAGCGGGCAGACAGTCACGGCCCCGTCTTTTTTACCTCATCGGTGAACCCCTGGTGGCCACACAGGCACAGATTATTAAGAACTCTAGTGTGGCAGCACCCCCAAGGCCTCCTCGTTGCCCTAAGCATCCCCCAAATCAGGACTTACTCAGCTCGGGGGAGGGTCAAACCCCCCCTTAACCTCTAGGAGACCGTGGACTCTGGACTCAGCTCTGTTCAGTTGCTCTTGGGCCCTGTTTTCCTTCTGTCATTGCCACTGTTGTGGCAGATGGGGTGACTCTAGAGAATTGGTCCTGTGTGGTCCTCTGAGCCTTTGTCTTTACTTCAAGTTCAGATCCCTGCACGGGCCTTAGAAGTCCTCCACATGTGGGCTTTTCTAAGTTAGTCATGCTCGTGGGGCATCTGGGGGGCTCAGTCCGTTAAGTGGCCGACTCTTGATTTTGGCTCAGATCGTGATCTCACGGTTCGTGAGTTCGAGCCCTGCTGTTAGTGCGGAGCCTGCTTGGGATTCTCTCTCTCTCTCTCTCTCTCTCTCTCTGCCTCACCCCTGCTTGCGTGCTCTCTCTCCTTCTCAAAATAAATAAATAAACTTTAAATGTTTTTTTAAATGTTTTATTTATTTTTGAGACAGAGAGAGACAGAGTGTGAGCAGGGGAGGGGCAGAGAGAACGCGAGACACAGAATCCGAAGCAGGCTCCAGGCTCCGAGCTGTCAGCACAGAGACCGACGTGGGGCTTGAACTCACGAACCGTGAGCTCATGACCTGAGCCGAAGTCGGACGCTCAACCGACTGAGCCACCTAGGCCTCCCTAAACAAACTTTAAACGATAGTCATGCTCAGTCATAATCCCCAAGATGTGGGATGGCTGGGCACCCTCCGGTTTCCCCCACAGACAAATAGCCAGGGTGTTGGGACCAAGTCTCTAGTCCCACCTTCCCTGATGATAAATTACTCTTTGGGGGAAACCCTGGGAGCCTTTCTTGCCACAGATCCTTGATTAATAATATCAACTTTATCCATTCGAGAAGGTCTGGTCAGGTCAACACCCACCTGATGAATCGTGCTCATTTTTTGGTTCCTATCCAGGTATGGTCCCTTTGCCTAGGAGATTTCCCGTGTCCTCCTCAGCTTTGCAAACGAGAGGGCCCTTTGCAGGCCCCCAGAGTCGTGATGGCAGGTGTAGTTCATGAGCTTGGCATTTGCACAACTTTGAGGGCCTCCCAAGTGTTCCAGAGGTTAAAACTAAATCTTTTCTGCCCATGACGAGAGGAGGGAAGTCTCTTCCTGAAGTTCAAGTTCTACCTTTCTGAAAGCCTTGTTGTCCACAGGTAGTCGGGGCAAGGGCACTCAAGTGTCTACCGATGGGGGGAAATCGTTTCTACTTGGACTGTGAATGGAGTGACTTTTCTCACCAAAGGGCAGGCATGGGTCACAGAGGGTGGAGCACCAATGCCCGGGCCACATGTTAACATGGAAGACTGGAGCTCCGGGCACAGCAGTGAAGGAGCACGGGGTCCACAGGGGCCATTGGAAAGAGCAAGTCTGCTCAGTAATGCTCTGCATGGGGACTTGGCATTCACAGGGGTGTTTGCAGCTACTGCGGCCTGGGGAGAAATTAAAAGGGACTCGAACCGATACAGGGACACCTTAGCCCGTGGGTGCCTGGGAAAGGGTTGACTCAGCAGGGCTACGGCATTGAACCCTGCATCTTCCAAAGAAAAGTCCAGCCCTGAACAGCTCCTGGGGGTTAACCTCCGAACCCTTGCCTGACAAGAGTGTCCGTAGACCTGGAGCTTTGGGTCATGCCAGATGCTCCAAGCTAACAATACAACTTATAGCAGGGGCCTTGGGTCACGGCGTGTCGGCTTGACCTGTGGAGAGCCTGAAGACAGAGTAACTTCATGCCTCTAGGCTGATCCCCAATTAAAGCCCTGGACTCCATGGCTCGGGTGAGCTTTTCTGGTTGATGATACTCCATACGTGTTGTCACATGGCATTGCTGGAAGGATTAAGTGCTGCCCATGCAACTTCGCCGGAGAGGGCAACGGGAAGCTGATGTCTGGCCTCTCCCGGGCCCTGTCCCCTGCACCTTTTACCTTTGCTGACTTTAATCTCTAGGCTTTCGCTGTAATAAGAAGGAAATGTGAGCATAAAAGCTGTTCTGGTTCCGGGAGTCTCCTATTAGTGAGTCACGGAACCCGAGACCCCCAAATACAGCGGGACCCACAGACGAGAAATCGACACAAGACATCAACAACAGAAAAGCCACACTTCCTCCGGGGGAAGGTTCTCATCACCTGCTATTTAGGGGCATGGAGAATTATCGGGATCCCATGGTCAGCAAGTCTGATTACTTGTATCTAACCAAGCGTGGGTTCGTGGTGTAGAGAAATCCTACGTGACTCTCTCCAGGGTATGGGCTCCCCTTTCCTAATTTATCGTGTTGTCTTCCTAAAATCCCAGGTGTAAGTCACTCTGGGTACTGTGTCAGAGTCTCAGTGCCTGGACTCATTTGTTCCGGCTGCTGTGATACCCCTCAACCCATTTCTCCCGTCTCAGGATCGCCGTAAGCATCACGGGGGATTCTTGACCGTGGATTTAGGTTTCAGGGCAGCTCTAACACTTGGCCTTCCCCCTTCCCAGGGTTCACAGGAGAGAAAGCATTGCTACTTCCCCAAAGAACCTCTTTCAGTTAATTGATGATCTAGCTGGAGCCTGGTGAATTCTTCGCATCCAGCCAACTTGGGCCGGGGCCAGGGTGAAGGGATGTCGTCCAGTTTATCGTTAGGTCCCATCATCTTTTCACACGGACAGGCAGATATTCCGGAGGCATTTTTGTTTTAAGGCTGGAAGAGAAGAAGAGGGAATTCAAGGTACTGAGAAAGAAGGCAACGCTACAGAGGCATGAACTCTGGCCCCACAGCGATGGCCCAGGCTCCTGGGGGGGGTGGGGGGGGCAAGGGTGTGACAGGGCAGTGGGCGGGGACTCAGGAGTCTGTGTCAGAGAGGAAGGACGTGGGCCAGACGCCCTGCCGGTTGGCAGCGAAGTCGAGAAGGGGACAGCTCTCCAGTCTCCACTCTCCGCCCGGTGATGGCTTCGGGTTACCCAGCTGTATCTACCTCGTGCCCCCAGTTTGCAAAAAGCTACTCTAAACTCAGTAACATGTTGTCCCCTAGATGGAATATGTTGTTCGTGTGGAGATTTTCATGTGGCGAGAGCGAAAGAAGAGCTATTCGACTATAAGGAGCGACCAAGATTTCCTGCTCCCCCTGCCCACCCCCGGGTGAAGGGATTTGGACTACTGAGCCCCCCACCCCCACCCCACCCCACCTCCACCCCGAATCTTGGCTCTTGTGCTGCAGAATAAAGGCAATGCAAGTCCCATGTGGCTCCACGACTTTTAGGAGGCCAGAGTCCTTTGACTTGATTGTCCAGGTAGATGACTACACTGTCACCTGGGCGGACCAGATAAGCCAGATCAGCCACTTTTGTCTGCAGGGGTGGGAGGGAAAAAAAGCTCGCGTCCGGCCTCTCCGGGAGTCAACGGGGGCTTTGCTACCATCTAAGACCAGGAGAGGGGCGTCATACACCCTACTCGTAGCACCTCATGCTGCCTTCTTATTCTTGGATTCATCCTACTCATTTTGCTTTGGTCAGAAATTTGAGCATTCACAATGGGGTCTCTTTTGTTTGATCTTTCTTCGTCCATTTGTATTTGTAGCTTACATGGGAGTCAGGGAGGATGAGAAACTTGCCCGAGATCACACAGAAAGCCATAGTGCTTGGCTGGGCTGACTCCCGCTTTGTTTTTTCTTCCCCATACCTCATTGCAAACATCCAACTGTTAGGTGAGCAGGAATCAGAAGTATCCTCCACTCTTTCTGTCTAGAATTAACGACGACCGCCTGAGCTGCACCTGCTCTCTTTAGTCCCTAACGAAGACGGGACAATCACTGAATTCTAGAGCTCCTTGAGAGAAGGCATTTATTGCCACGCGCCAAGGTCAAGCATCTACTTACTGTGTGAGTGGGGCACCCTTTTCACCCTCTGACAGATGTATGTTGCATTCTTCAGAAACCAGGAATAGTATTCAAGACAGTACCTAAAGATTCCAATCAGAGTGGAAAGCAAACGTCATCCCTTGTGGCTAATGGAAGACAAGCATAATTTACAAAGTCATGGGCGCCTGGGTGGCTCAGTAGTTGAGCGTCTGACTCTTGATTTCGGCTCAGGTCCTGATCTCCCGGTTGTGAGATTGAGCCCCACTTTGGGCTCCCCACTGAGTGTGGAGCCTGCTTGGGATTCTCTCTCTCTCTCTCTCTCTCTCTCTGCCCCTCTGCTCCCTTTCCACCCCCCTCAAAAAATAAATTAAAAAAAAGTCATAGCGGCCAATTATTCACAGCAAGGAGGCCCTCTCTATCTTTACAGGGTGTGTGGGGGGGGGGCAGAGGATGAGCCTGAGGGGCGGAAAAAGCTTAGACTTCGGAGTGAAGAGGCTGTATTTTTAGTCCTGTCATCTTGCCTTACTAGGACGTGTGGCTTCAGGCTGAGTATTCAATTCCGTGGGCCTCCGTGTTTCCATCTACACACGAGAGGAAACCATAGCGCCCCCGCTCACCGGTTACCTCGAGGATTAAGCGAGGTAACACTTGCCCAGTTCCTGAGCGGGGCCGGGCTCGCCACAGGTGCTCAGCAAACGATGGTGTTCGTTTATGTATTTGAGGGGCGAGTCGGGGCAAGAGCGCAGGGCTGTTCCTGTTAACCGGGCAGCGAGTACTTGCGAAGTAATATCCTGCCCTGGGCCGGGCCTGCAGGGATCTCTTCTCAGGGCTTCGGGGAAAGAGCGCTGGGCACATGCCTAGGGAGAAGAGCTCTCTGTGCCGCCGGCTCACCCCGGGACCCCGGGGCCTTTGCTGCCCGAGCATGCTCCTCGTGGGATGCTTAAGGGGGTGCGGCCGACCAGCTTCTACTTTCCCTCCCATCGGCACCATTCTGTGAGTCCAGCAGACTCTGGGGAACAACTAACTGCTCCAGGAAAGCCGGCTGCAAAGACTCCCCGGGCTCCATCACCCTCAATTTACAGGACACCGAGACAAGGAGGGAACTGGGGCACGGGATGAACTGATTTGCTCTCGAGAGACAGGGCTGGATTTGTACCCCGGTGATCCGCTTCGTGCCAGAGCACAGCGCGATTCTCGCGGGGCTGTCCCCACTTTGCGGAAGGAGGCACTGAGGCTCAGAGAGGCTAAATGGCTAGCCTCCATAGCTTCTAAGTGGCAGCGCCTAAAATTGTTTTTAACCATACATTGAATTTATTATGTAAAAAGCTCATGCAAAACACCGAATGTCAAGAGATAAGAAGAATAAAACATCACGACGAGTCTAGAGAAAGAGAAACGAGAGTGAAAAATGAAAGAGTAAGAACTCGTAACTCATAGAAGTGGGGAAACCCTCCAAACGCATTCCAACTTACTAGTAATCAAACAACAGTTTTAAAACAATCAGATACCATTTCTGATCCGTAAATTAAACAATTTAAATGATCGCATCAGTGCTGGTGAAATTGTACGCCATTCTCGGTTGGAAAGCAGTTTGGCAATAGGCACCAAAAGCTTTAAGAATATTAATTCTTTTTAATGTAAGGTCCCTTTAAAAATACTGACCTTGGGGTCCAAATATCTGGATTTAAATCCTGGCTTCTCCACTTACCAACTGTGTAAACTGAGGTGACTTAAATTAACATGCCTCAGTTTCTTCCTTTCTAAGATGAGAATAATTCTGAGAAGTATCTACCGGATTATGAGGATGAAATGAATCAATACTTGTGAAGTTTTGGGAATAGTGCCTGGCACCATGTGCTGTGTAAGTTTGCTAAATGTGAATAGATTCAACTATTTTAACAACTTACTCCAAGAAATTGCCAGTTGAGAAAAAGCTTTATATACAAAATTATAAATTATCACTGTGTATATATAATAGCAAAAAAAAAGCTATAATAGAGGAATGGTTAGATCATTGAAAATTAAAGAAATATGCATTCATTAAAATTATGTTCATGCCTAAATTTAAACCCAGGTCTGTTTGGTTTTAACCCTGCCCCTCCATACGGCACACGAAGCTACCTACTAGCTTTGAGGGCCCAGCTCTGTGGCCCCAATCCCTCCTCACCACCCCCCCCCACCCTCAGTTAGCTTGACAGTGTGCAGGTGTGGCCAGATTTTCTTCTAACAGCCGCAAGTTGCTTAGAAAGCTTCCAAAACAGGGGCGCCTGGGTGGCTCAGTTGGTTAAGCATCCGACTTCAGCTCAGGTCATGAGCTCATGTTCGTGAGTTCGAGCCCTGCGTCCGGCTCTGTGCTGACAGCTCAGAACCTGGAGCCTGCTTCGGATTCTGGGTCTCCCTCTCTCTCTGCCCCTCCCCCCACCTCTCAAAAATAAACAAACATAAAAAAGAAAGCTTCCAGAACAGAGAGGACATCAAAGTACCCTGGGGATTGGGTTCAGTGTGTTGTGAATGAAGGAAGAAATGCACAGCTCAGAGCAGTAGCTGAAGCTATGGGAAGAGTGAAAACTTGTTTGCACGAGCTTACCAGGAGCCTGAGAGAGCAAAGTCCTTCTGGAAGGGGACCTATGCCGGGGACAGTGGCCGGTCACCCTTGATGTGGCCACATTGCATATCTCGGTGGACCTACAATGTTCCAGGCTGCCCGTGCTATCTTTGCACCTGCTCTTTGCCTGGAGCGTCCCCTCCCATTTCCTGCCCCAGAAGCTTCTGTTGATTCCTCCATCCAGCTCTAGTCCTTAGTTACCCTGGGGCCCACAGCGCATACTGAGGATCTGCTACGGCGCTTCTCATAGTTTTGCAGTTTCTCTTTGCATGGCCGACTTCCCCACTCGAGCATGGTTTTTTGATCACAGGGGCTGTGTGATTCAACAAACACACTGAGTAGAGCCAGCCTCCCACTCTGTCATTCGTAGCCTGTACTCAGGGTTTAGGAGGAGATTATAGAACAATTTACTATTAAGTTAAAATACAGGGAAAGGAAAGGATAAGCTCAGGTTCATAGATGCTTCATTTCTCTAAGTTTCGACTTAAAACTCCTCTCTGGAAACTTCTGCCTTCCTCATTTATCCTTGCACCCAGTATTTGCTATATAGATAGTTTTTTTAATGTGATTTTTCTCCAAGGGGATACGATGAATAGGTTCTGCCTCATGTGTAACTTGGTTCTGCCCCTTACTGTGTTATATATATATTTTTAAATGTTTGTTTTTATTTTTTGAGAGAGAGTGAGAGGGACAGAGTGCGAGTGGGGGAGGAACAGAGAGAGAGGGAGACCCAGAATCTGAAGCAGGTTCCAGGCTCCGAGCTGTCAGCACAGAGCCCGACGTGGGGCTCGAACTCACCGACTGTGAGATCATGACCTGAGCCAAAGTCGGATGCTTGACTGACTCAGCCAACCAGGCATCCCTACTATGTTATATTTTGATTTGTGTTTATGACCATTTCTTTCTCCCATCTATGAGCCCCTCAGTTTCTGGGTCTATTTCTTTTTCTTTTAAGTTTATTTATTTATTTTGAGAGAGAGGGAGAAGGACAGAGAGAGAGTCCCAAGCAGGCTGCGAGCTGTCAGCATGGAGCCTGATGTGGGGTTTGATATGGGACTCAAACTCATGAACCACAAGACCATGACCTGAGCCAAAGTCGGACACTTAACCAACTGAGCCGCCCAGGCGCCCCTCTGGGTCTGTTTCTGATTCATCTCTCAATTCCTGTGGATCAGCCTAAAAGATAATTACTAGAGACTCAACTCGTGTTGTTGATTTGAAAAGCTGGTAGAAAAAAGTTCTAGCCGTGGTCTGATCCTGTAAGAAAGCATGGCTGCAATGCCTCCATGTTGCTTGCTAACACCCTCGGGTCTATGGACCTTGCTCACCTCCCTCTCTGGGTGGAGGAAACATCCACACCGATTGAGGGATTCAAGACAAGGACACAATGAAAAGAGGCTGCAAACCAACCTGCACGGGGTTCAGAGCCAGTGGGTGATGGAGATTTGAAAAGCTGAAGGGTCATGAGTGGACTCTGAAAGTGACATTAAAGACCGGAGAGATTGGCCCCGGGCCACCGGAGCAGAAGTATTCAGCCACGTTTGTTTGGTTCTGGATTTACAACCAATAAGAAACTCCAGAAGAAAGGGTAGAACGTCTGCACTCTCAAGGGTGGGAAACTGCCCACGCCCAGAACTTCTAATATGAAACCGTGTCTGCCTTCTAAATTTCTTTTTACAGTCTTCACGTTTGGCCAGCAAATGAGTGTCAGGGATTTAGAAAGATCTGGAATGTAGATGGGCATACCCTCTGACTATTCTCTTCTGGCAGATCTCACCAGGCTGAGGCCCCCGGGGACTCCAGGACCCCACGAAGTCCTGTGAGATCATTGCACCAGGTGTGACGGAGCTCGGCTCAGCTCGACTCGACTCAACTCGGCTGTACTCGTGGTCCTGGGGACCCAGAAATGAATGAGGTTCCATGCTGGCTCGCAAGGAAGTGATGGTCTAGTAGAAGACTCACTGGAGAGTCGATTTCTTGACGTACCCCTGTCACCTCTCTCTGCCCGGTCACCTGGTGGCCGGCAGAGCATCCACACGGCATAAGCAGCCTCTAAATACTGACTCTGGAAGGTGGCACCTGGCCCAGGTTACCTCATGGCCTCCATCCTGGGGTCTCTCTTCTGGCTCATGCAGAGGCATTGCTGGAAAAAGCGGCACAGCTCCATCAGGCAAGGGTTGAGCTTCCGGATGGCCAGGGGGAGGGGAGCGGCTGTGACGGTCCCCTCTTCGACCAGCAGCTGAGGACACCCTGGAAGATGCAACCCCAGACCGCTGAAATCAACAAGGTTTGAGCAAAAGCATCTTCTCCCTGTGCTTTAGTAAGTAGAGTCTCCCCGGATCTCAGGTGGCTCTGAGAGGGACAGGTGAGACAGTCTTGCTTCCTCAGTGCCCGGAAGAGCCGCCGTGAGAATGCACGAGACAGGTGGGGAAGGTTTCACTGACAGCAAATATTGAAAAAGGATCTAGGGGCGTCTGGGTGGCTCAGTCGGTTGAGCTTCCGACTTCGGCACAGGTCGTGATCTCACACTCTGTGAGTTCGAGCCCTGCGTCGGGCTCTGGGCTGACAGCTCAGCCTGGAGCCTGCTTCGGATTCTGTGTCTCCCTCTCACTCTGCCCCTCTCCCACTCGTGCTCTGTCTTTCTCTGCCTCTCAAAGATAAAGAAACATAATGGAAAAAAAAAGGATCTAAAGCATTAAACAGCAATGGATCAGGTGGAGGCATTTCCAGCGTGAGGGGTAGAGGATATGGTGACTCATATCAGGCAAGGGGATGGTTTGCTGGGAACTTCATAGGGAAGTGGAGAATAATTTGATGGAGCAGTGGGTATGGGGTGCGTGTGTGTGTGCGTGCATGTGAGTGTGCGTGAGCGTGTGCAGGCATGGGTATATGTGTTTGGCATGGGTATGTGGGCATGACTGTGTGCACGTGCATGGGTGTACGTTACCAGATGATAACCGGGAGGATTGAATGAGAAAAAGATTTGTACGAAGCATGTTGCAAAGTTCCTGGTGTGGAATAAACAATAGACGGTGGCGATTATTATTGATTTACTAAAAATGTATTGAACATTCCCTGCATGTCGGGCAGAATAGACACAAGAGATACAACACTAAGAAAGGAAAAGAGGCTTCCTCTTACAGAGCTCACCTTCTAGTGATTCGAAGATTATACTAGGATATTGATAATAATCTTCCAACAAAGAATCACTAGCTGCTATCAAGAAAAAGGATCTAAAACCCGGAAATAAGTTCTGGGTATCGTCCAGCAGACTCTGTGGGGATTATCTGGTTATATAAGAGTGTGTGCCTTTGACTCATTTATTGAGTAGGTTTTTACCACTCTGAAGAGGTTAACTGATAGCAATGTAAATGCATTTTATGTGGTCAAGGTGCAATTGATTTTTGTCCAGTAAAAAAAAAAAAAAAAGAATTTATTGCTGTAGGATATCAATTAGCAAATTCGTTTCCAAATTCCTAGGATTGATTATAAAGATCCCTGTTCCTCAAACTCTATTGAACAAATCTTAATTCATTAATTAATGGTTGAATAGTATTTCTGACATGGGTTCATTTCTTATTTTTGTGAGTCATGTTTTTACCTTTTTGAAAATTAAAATTTAGCAGTTTTATAAATATATATATATATATTTATTTTTATTTTTAATTCCAGTGTAGTTAACAGTGTTATATTAGTTGCAGGTATACAATATAGTAATTCAACAATTCCATATATTATTCCGTGTTCATCAAGATAAGTGTACTCTTGGGGCACCTGGGTGGCTCGGTCGGTTGAGTGTCCAACTTCAGCTCAGGTCATGATCTCACGGTTTGTGAGTTCGAGCCCCGCAACGGGCTCTGTGCTCACAGCTCAGAGACTGGAGCCTGCTTCGGAGTCTGTGTCTCCCTCTCTCTCTCTGTCCCTCTCCCCCTCACACTCTGTCTGCCTTCTCTGTCTGTCAAAAATAAATAAATACTAAAAAAGAAGATAAGTGTACTCTTAATCCCCATCACCTATGTGGGGGGGGGGGGGGGGGGGGGGGGGGGGGGGGGGGGGGGGGGGG